TATATTCCAGTTTCCATGACACCAACACCACTGAAAGTTTCTAAACTTTTATATTAGCTTATATTTGTCTCTGAACAATATCTCCTAGTAATTAGCAACCTCTGTTATCAGTGACTTTTTTTAATATATTAAAACTAGCTTCTGAGGTTTGAATGTTCTGAAATTGAGATGGGTTCCTGCTCTTTTTCTTTTGGCAGAAGAGAACATGATCATTCAGAAGCTGAGAGAGCTCAACACCTGAAACAGATTCATGATCTTCAAGAACACATTCAAGAGAAAGAGAGGCAGGTTACTGAGCTGCAGGAACAGGTACATATATTTGCATGATTTTAATGTACATTTTCTTAATTTTCAATCCCGGAGGTTAAGGTGTGAATATTCTGCTTCACTGAGAAGTAGAACAAGCAACCCTAAATAACAATTATTATTGACTGTAGCAGTCTTGATTGTATTAAGTAAAAGTTCTCAATATCAAGAATGTCAATTATCAAAATCTGATCTAATTTCCAAACATAGTAGACCTACCATACACCTCGGGTTTAAGTCCATGAGAAAGTAAATCGTACCTAACCCAAATAAAGACTAACAAAATAAACCAAAAAGTAAGTTCACTAATAATTTAAATCCTGTTTATTAAATTTACATCTAAAATAGATATTCTTCCTGGACTTGGCAGAATCTTCTCTGTCATCCCCCTGATTGAAAAGAACTCTATACTGAAGAGAACAAATTTCAATATTTATTGTCATGCAACTTAATTTACCAGAATGGTATTTTTCTGTTGAAAATGGAACTCATACTACAATTTCAATCAACTGTATTATTGTTTGCCCTAATGGTAGTTTTCTTCTTCAGCATAGGTTTGCTCAGGAAACCCTTCTTTATAAGGATGAACAATTGAGGGAGGCTCAGACTTGGATTTCTCGTGTCCAGGAGATGGATGCTTTACAGTCAAATACAAATCACTCCTTACAGGCTGAACTGCGAGAACGTACAGAGCAGTATAACCAACTCTGGCATGGCTGTCAGAGACAGGTTGATGAGCTTTTTAGTTTCTTGTTTGCACTTCCCTTGAATAAATAGATTTGATGTAATTTTCTGTGAATTTAGATTGACCCTTTTCCTGGTTTGTTTTAGTTTGCAGAGATAGAGAGACTTCATTTACATACAATACATCAGCTTCAATTTGAGCTGGCTGCTACAAGAAAGAGGAACAGTTCTTACACTGATGAATCACATGTATCCCTAGCAAAACCAGAACATTTATCTCAGTTTGGTAAAAGTAATGGGAACCAACTGGGTTCTAATGAAAGTGATTCAACAAATAATGCTTGGGCCATTTCAAATGGTGCTTCAGACAGTGTTCAATCATTTACTTCAGATGGTAATGTGCCAACTGAGGTAGGACTGCTGGTGTTTCTGATGTGGTATTGCGTAGATTGTGTTTCAATCAGCGATTTAATATTTATAAAATTCTATATAGTGATTATTGCAGTATGCTTTTCTTCATATGGTAAGTACTTCTTTGGAAAAAATATCATATAGCAGAATCTTTAGTTTTACTAAAGTTGTGGGTATCTACTTCCTTCCCTTCCTCTTTGTACAGTCCATCTTGCATTGGTTTGAGATTGTGCTAATCTCATTTTAGAAATTCTTAGTTGTAAAGTTTGGAGCTCTTTGATAAATAGCATTTTTTTTTCATTTTGTCTTGTTTATAACACTTTCTATTAGGTTTCTGTTCCACTTATATGATTGTTTTTATTATCAGAATAATGATGGCCATATTCCGGTTGTTCCAATTGCTCCATCATCTCTACTTGGGATGCCTTCATACCTCCCACCTGGGCAGGTGACTGCTCTGCATTCATTTGTAATGCATCAACAGGGTTTTCCCCATTCTGTGGCATCTCATGATGGACAATACTCAATGCCAACAATTTTGTCCAATCAACAGTGGCAGAACCAACAAGTATTGTCAAACCAATGCTTCCTCAATTTTTCCCCTGGGTTTCTTTGTTATATATAAAGATTTTTCATCATATTTTTCAGATTTCACCAGAAGCTTTCCCGCTCGCTGCTCAGAATCAACTTCCACCATCCCAAACTGATCAAAGCTTTGGGAGGTCAGACTTGAAATATGAATATGAAATGTCTGTCAATGAACAAGCTGTTAGTCCAGACCATCTTGATCACATTAACCAAGAGCCGGAGCTCAATTCTGTGATATCTTCATCTGCTGTGAAACCACAGGTTCTTTGAATCGAGAAGTTTCCATTCACAATGCGTAGTATTGTCAGCATTTGCTCTTGTAACTTGCCCCTTTTTGCAGGTCCTTGATTCAGGTAAATCAAGTTATGTTATGGACCCCCAAACTGAGCCAAGTTTGGAGCAGGTTTCCTCACAATTTCATGATGCATTGACGTTAGCCACTCGGGAACAGAGCTCTGAATCCAAGGTTTGTTAGTTTGACTACTCCTTTGGTGGTTGGATATCTCGGATCTAATCACTATTTAAATTTGAACCGGACAGGAACTGAATATTCTGAACATGAATAATCATGTGGTGGAGGACCAAGTTCTGTCAGCAGAAGAAGCAAGTACTGCTGCCAGCCCTTCTCCTCCTGATAGTTGGGTGCACTCTGTTAATTTCAATGGAACAACAACCAGCAATGGTGTTAATGCTATTTTGCCTGAAAAGTCAGTTTCAACTGGGCAGACTAATATCTTGAAATCGGCTAAGCCTTCAGAGACTGCTCTGCTTGATGAAAGATCATTGTTGGCATGTATAGTTCGCACAGTTCCAATTGGTGGCAGCATTCGGATCAGCTCAACGGTTAGTTGATCTGCAATTAAGTTTTATTTAAAATCAACTTAGCTCCTGTGTTATTAAACCCTACAAATGGGGTTTTGACTTGGATCAATCAATTGCAGCTGCCAAATAGGCTGGGGAAAATGCTTGCACCGTTGCACTGGCATGATTACAAGAAAAAGTACGGAAAGTTGGATGACTTTGTAGCTAGCCACCCTAAGGTTTGTTTCTTGCAACCTTTTACTTGTTGTTGGCCTGGGGGTTATATTTTCTGAAGGTTTCATAATGTGATTGCTATGTGATTTCAGTTATTTGTTATTGAGGGTGATTATATTCGGCTTCAAGAGGGAGCACAAGAGATGATAGCAGCCACTGCTGCTGTTGCTAAAGTTGCTGCGGCTGCTGAAGCATCATCTTCAAACTCCTTTTTGCCTTCTGTTGCTGTTACACCAATTGCACAGCCTAATCGGCTAAACAAGGCGCTTCGACCAAGTGATCCCAACCATCTGACTAGTGTTGAAAGCAAGGCTTCTGGATATGGAAGGTCTAATTCAAATGTCGTTGGAAAACATCATGGCAGGTATGTAAAATCCAGCAAATAGCTAAAGGTCATTTATTAGCAGATTCTTTATGGCTCAAGCCTATTGAGTTTGATCGTCTTGTAATGTGACAGGACAACTGGGGCTGCGTTATCTTCAAGAAGATAGTGAGTGCATTTACCTCAATTGTCCGCTATTGTTTAATCATTGTGTTATACGTGCATTCCTATTCTACTATTGCACTTTCACCCTATGTTGCTCTGCCTCTTCATTTTGATTGAATTACTGGCGTCTGACACTGATGTCCAATTCATATCTAGAGACAGAGTATGAATATATCATCCTAGAAGGAATTGAACACACCTATATCCAACATTCCCACTCGAGTCTAAATAACTTAGCTTTCACCGGCGATTCTAATTTTGTAAATCACCATTTAACTAAATAATGAAGTGTATTTTCGTTCTGGCAGGATATTTGTATGCCGAACTGCAAAATTCAGCTGTGGATCATGCATGATGGAGATTGCAAGCTTTTTGGGGTATTATTTTGTAGAAGTGCATCTCCTGATCTCTAGACACAAGCTTTACTACTATTTAAACTGTTTTAAGCCTTTTGGCACTCCATTGTTTAAATATCACTATTCTACTGCCTGTTTTACCATGCTCCAAGCTGCAGATCTGATTTTTCTGCTTAAACTGTGTCGCTCCAACGTATTTTTTTCTTGTCAAATATTCATATCTGACCTTTTATGTTTGACTCATTTGAAATTTGGTATGAGCATCAAATTTTGGATATGGGTTTCATTAGTTACCTATAGAGTTTATTTAAATTGTGATTAACCCAAGTATAAATCTAGTAAAATCTTAGACACAACTTGTTTGGTACACTTAACAATATCTGTATTCGAAGTTATGGTTGCTAGTCGTGAAAGAAGCACACTGGGCGGGCGTGCTTCGACCATGTCTCTGGGGCACAGTTGAATGTAGATATCATGAACGTGAGGTGCAGGATACCAGGCCGAGAAACCTGGGCAACCACCCTCCCCCTATGCGCCAATCGCTAGCGCATCCAGGGGCCCGGCACCTAGCTCAGCTGGAGAGGCCTAAATTAAATGCTTGTTATACCATGACTCCATTCACATGAAAAATTATGAGATTACAAGTTAATATAAGAGTAAAGTTGTAGTTCGGCCCAATAAATTAAACTTCAATTTTGGTTTTATACTTTGTAGTGCAAATCTTTGACCGAGAGTTTTTGGAAGTTTTCTAAATAAAGCAGTTAGGATTCTTTAAAATTAGGTTTCATGCAAGTTTTTTATCCTATTTTAAATTAGGCCCTTAAAGTTTTTTATCCTCTTTTAATTCCTAGAAGCATAGGTTTTAGTGCAAAAGTTGGTACGCGTTAGTTTGTCTTTTCTATTAAAATTAAGGGCCAACTATTGAAATGCTCGTTTTCATTTTATAAATATTCGTTTTTCCCCACCGGTTTAAAAGATTTGTAGATCATTTACGTTATTGATTAATAATATTTTGAATATTGTATTATTAAATATTTTTAAATTAAAAATAATTCATTTTATTGACGTGTCATATCATCAAATTAACTACATTTATTATTTCATTAATCAAAATGTAATCAATGCACTGTAATATGCCAACATAAACTAGTACATTCATGTCTTTAAAATCACATACAACTCTATAAGTTAAAACAAAGCAACAATGCACTTAAACCACTGTAAGTAACACCAACTCCGAGAGTATCAACCGACGTGTGTGTGTATACATCTATGGGTGGTTGATCAGTCTTGGAGAAAGAAACAAGCAAGGATGATTCAGTGTGTTGCAGGGTGAGGAGCACGGCGGCGAATTGGTGTCTTTGACGTAGCTACCCTGCATATGTAACAGGCAAATAATCCAATAAAATTATGGAATAATTTGGATTTTACGAACCGGAAAACTGCTGGCACACAAACTAACCTTATTGGAAATAATCCCAGAATTGCACCACTGCAGTTGAGAGCTGCAATGGCACTCGCAGCCTGCAAACAGTGAAAATAGAACATAAAACTCTGGCAACCAAATTCCGGCAGCTTCAGTAAATTGATAATTTGATCTATACCAAAAACTGGATATTGCAACCGGTAAACAAAGTCAGCAAATGAGCAAATACCGTAGTGAACTCGATAAAAGCACTGTTGGTTGGATGATTAGAGTCTTTCAGTAGCCTCAAGCGTTGAACCTGACATAAAGATCAGCAAATGTTCAGTACCAACTCATTAAGTTTAACAAGAGGAATATCTCCACCGGAGCTCGAACTGTCAGTTCCAATGATGAGGATATTTGTCACTAAGTAGGGATAGGTTCTATAGAGGATAAGGTGAGAAAACTCCGTTTACTGACTACATAGGATGCAAACTGATGGATAAGAAAATCACATGCCTAAAGGTGTAAATAATGGTATGAAAATGCTAGAACTTGACGAGACGATGGTGGTTGATTCGAATGGTTTCGAGTAAGATATGTTTGCCCGAAAAAACGAGCTTGAGTGGGAAAGAACAAACCTTTCCACACAAAAATTCGAAGAAGAGCTTGACACCAGTTTTAGTAACCTGTATCAGTTGAACAAACAAGCCAAGAATCATCGTTCCAGTTATGTCCATCACACATGCACTCAATAAAAAATAACATACATCAGACAGAAACTACCTTCTTGTGTATGTTTGTACAGTAAACAGTCCTCAAACACATCTCTCGCTCGACCTCCGACTGGGAAGCATAAAAACAATCAAAGATGAGTAACTTAAAACAAAACCAGATAGAACAGTGAATGAAATTTGTTCATCATATTCATTGATCTTTACGTTGGGCAAATATGTTGGATTAACAGGTGCGATTGCAGTCTTGGAAGGCAGCACTTTCAAAGGGTAAAACCCAAGAATTGTTCCGGACAAATTCAAAGCAGCCTTTGCATCATCTGCAAAAACATCGAATTTGAATCATCGATGCTGTAGAACGAGGGAAGATATGAATGGTTATCAGATTCATAAGATGTCTGTAATACCTTCATTATAGAACTCGACGAAGGCGAACCGGAGAGCTGAAATATGATCACTACATATGCGACAATCAACGATCTATGGATCGAAACAAGAATGAAGTTAATCTTAGGAATGATCCAACACTATTAAGTTTGATAAACTGAAAATTTAGCATTAAATTTGGGGGGGGGGGATAATACCGGTCCACAACTCAGAAAGAGACCAGCAAGAAGCTCCTCAGTAACCTATATAATATGCATTATCAATCAGAAAGATATCACTAAATACAGGTTTTTTTCCTGTCCTTTTCATACCGTAGATGATTTGGAGGATCATATCCGCAAACCCGCAGTCCGGTTCAATAAAAATGAAAAGTCGGAACAACATAGATCGTACCAATTCACAAACAAAATAAAACAGGTGCATGTCCAACCTGGACATATCAAGTTTTTCTAAGCTTTTAATGCATGGTGCAAATATGCATTGAATAGGAAGATTTCAAAAAAAAAAAAACCCGAAGTTTTTCATGTATTTGAAGATTCCTTTTAAGATTATATCTCGAAATTCATATTCAAACATAACTTTAACACGAGTAATTTCAATAAAAATGAAAGTAAAACCAAGGGGGGGAAACAGAATTGTGAAAACATATTCACCTGATGATCAAAACCAGTAACATAAACAGTGTTCCTAATTGCATCATCTTCCTGAATAATGTCAGTTTTCTTGTTCAACATTCTCTTCCCCTGACTACGCTTATCATTGCTCTTCTTCTGAGTGAAAAAGAACAAGAGAAGATAAATAAAAACAACCGAATATAACTTTATATAGATTCATAGAATCAAATGGGATTTGCCCAGAAAGTAAAATATACCTTTCCATTTCCAGAAAATCGATTCTCTTTAAGATTCTGATTATTAGGAATGGAAGGGGGTCTGAATTCCTCAGCCGTGGGGTTGAGCTTAGACAACATCTCTGCCAAATCACTCATTTCCTTCTTCAAAATTTCACCATTTCCCCCATTTTCGACGCTGCTAAGCTCAATAAGCATTTTCTGTTTATTCTTCTCAGCCGAACCGCCATTGTCATTGCCGTTAACAGCTGCTGCTGGTTTTTCTTCTTCGGACTTAACTTCCGAAGTGTTCTCCGCATTTCGACCCGATGACCTGATTTTCGCCCCGGAATTATCAGCGACCGTCATTATCAAATGCTCTTCAGACTCCTCTGTAAACAAAGAAATGCAAATCAATGGGCGAAAAACAGACTACAAGGCTTTGTTTTTGGCTAGTGTTTTATGTTCCTGTGTATACCCGTATAAATACTGTGTTCATGGCTGTATCAAAGGATACGGCCATCCTTTCAACGTGATTAAATTTAATTTATTTATTTAATAAGTCTGATTTATATATAAAAAATTATTGAGTTTAATAAAACATGTTACATACTAATCTGTACGTAACTAATCTACTGACATTATTTGCATTATTTAAATTCATGTTGTCTTTCATTCTTAGTTAACTTATTTCACTATATACCAATAGTAATAAGTTGGTCTAATAGAACGAGTGTATTAGATTATTTAAGTAAAATTAAAGGTTTAAATTATATTATTTATTAATAAAATAAATTGGATTTAGATGATCACTCTCCTTTACGGTATTCGATTTTAATTATTTATTAATAAATCGAACACGGATTACTATATAGAAAAAAACTTATTTCCCTATATTTAATAGTAACCATAAAATGATGTTTAATAGACGAGATATGCAACCAATAAAGTATTTTAAAAATAATACATTAAATATGTTTGTAATTTTCTCCAAAATCTATTTTTTTTCTAAGTGTTGTGTTGTTCGTCTTTTCTGTTTTTATTTTTTTTATCATTGTCTATACTAATTTTAATATTATTGTCAAATGATATTATTTTTTATTATCTTTTTATTTTCTTATATCGTATCTTTATTTTTTTTAATAAGTTTGTTTGTGTAACGTATTTTTTTTATCTTTTGACATATTTTCGATCGTTTGATTGTTATTTTTATTTATTTTTTTAAGTTTTGATTTGATATTATTATATTGATTTTCTCTATTTTTGACACTCATATTGAATTTAGATACTCGATTTGTGTTTGTTAATAGCTTTCCACGTCGTCCGATTTTGATTTGTGATTTATTGATAATCTTTCAATAGTTTGATCTACTTTTGTAGTTCGTTTATCGACATGATCATATTTATTTTGTCCGAGCGCTAGATCACACAAAAACTAACCACCTAAATCACACAAAGAAAAAAGAAATAAAATATTGAAAAACCTAACCAAAAAGCTAGAACAAAATAAATATACGAATAAATCTGACTACATCAGCAAACGAATCATAAAAGAGGTTGAAACTACTGAAAGACCATTGACGAATCGCAAATCAAAGTCGTTCGATGTAAGAAAACTATCTACTAATACAAAATGCGTATATAAATCAATATGATGGTCCAAAGCAAGGAAAATCAACATGATAACAAATAAGTGTTATCTTGATCAGTCATGATTATGTCACTAAAACAAAATAAATATCACTAAGACAAAGATAAATGTGTCACAAAAATATAATTATTCTTATTAAAAACTAAAAATATAAAAAAAAATAATCAGATATCAACAATCTATATTAAAACTGCTGTTTCTATCGTATAAAGAAAATCAAGAAAAATAAATTGATTTAATATATTAAAAAGAAAAAAGAGAAAAAAATGATTTGATATGGAAAAGTCATTGTCGGCCACGTGTCCATCGTGCCATCACGTGTTTTGTTTTCTTTAATCATAACTGTCAGAACAGCTGCGAAAATGTCAGAATAATGTTATTCTATGAGTAAAAACACGTTGGAAATATTCCAATTGCACCTGTTTTTATTATCATTTAATTCAAAATAATCACTTGCTGACGAGGCCTTTTGGGGTTTTAGGATAAGGATGAGTACGAGGAACGACAATCTTAATATACAGTTAAAAAATATTATCAGTTTTATTATTGTTTAAATAAAAAATTACTTTAAACATTATTATTTTTACGAGTTTTTTAACAAAATCGATAAAGCGTTATTGGTTTTGTTATTTTTTTATACCGATTTTGTTACTGTTTGACTCTTTATCAAAAATATTAAAAAATATTGATGTTTTAGGTAAAAGTAATAATGTTTTAGTTAATTTTTTTATCAATTTTGTTATTTAAATAATAACAAAATCGATAACACATTTTTTTAATTATATATTAAATGTGTCATATTATAGAATTTCTCGAGTTGGATGATGTGGTCCTAATATATTTTCCAATGGGAAAAATATTTTTAATTTATATAATTGTAAAATGCGATTAAAATGATTTAGAATTTTATATAATTAGGAATATTTATAGATTGGGTAAGGTCGGATTATTAATTTATCTGATCTTGATTTGAGTACTATACTCTTCCACTTAATTCAATATAAGATCAGAAAGGTTTTACTCGTTTTGAATGTGACCTTATTTCTAAGGATAAAACTCAACTCTTATTCGATCTGATAAAAATAACATCGTCGTTAAGATTTAATATGACGATGAGATTTAAGATTTAATCTTTCCTTTAGTCATTTAAGTAGCATAAATTTTCTTTAGTTTTATCGTCAAATGTGATGATGACATGTATTATCAACATTGTGATTAAATTTTGTCCGATTAATAACTGAACTAAGATAAAAATAATGTTTCTCCTAGAAAAAAATAGTATAATGATCAAAATAAGAAGAAATAAATAAATTGGTGACTATTAGGGTAATTTATGCTAAAAGTTTTTGTTTTTTTTACAAAATGTAAGTTTATGTTAAGGGTGGCTGTATTAATCCAATGACAATACATACTTAAGATTAATTGAAATTTATTTAGGAATTTACATATTATCTACCATCAATGACTGTGATAGAATTTGAACTTAATTTTAAAAACTCGAATTCTTAAATTATAACCAATAGTACTAACTCTCGTTATTTTAGTCGGTGGATGGAACGATTTCCACACTTGTCTCAAGAATAATATTGTTGGTGGAATTTTACTGACATGATTTATTTTATTAAATGATATTTTCTAAATGTTGATTTAATATTTTTTTATTAATTAAGTATAAAGTAATATATATTTAAAAATAATTCTCAATAATTTAATATTAAAAATTTACATTTTTGATATTTATAATACACTAAATCAATACTTTAGAGAATAATAATAATTTTAAAATTTTCATATAATATATGTTTTCCTTCTAATAAAATAAATTTAAGATTTGCTTTGAGAGGCCTTTCATTGTTTTTATCCTTTCATAGGATTTGATCGGTTTGAATAATTTTTATATTATTTATCATATTTGATAAAATATTTTTTTTAAATTTTATTATAAAATAAAATAGTTTATACGACATGATTTAAATATCATAAAATGAATCCATAAAGTGGTCTCAATGATAAAAAATAATATTATTTTTAAAAGTTTTGGGTTCAAGCAATTGAATTTGTCGAGTGTATGCACACATTGTCAATAGATTAAAAAAGTTTTGAACAAATATTTTATTATAATCACTCAAAACTAGGGATGGTCATGAGACCCTATAACACCCTAGATCAGTACGACACGCAGTCGACCGGTTTAAGGTGCTACACGGAACCACCGAAGTGGTTGGCTAACTTTTTCTTACTTTCTTTAAATATAAAACAACTATAATATAAACTAAAGAATAAATAAAATATTTACACTGAGGAGCTCCAAATTAAAATATTTATTCTTTACAAAAATAATGCAAACCACTCTACCGAAAACTACGACTCAACTGGATAATAAAGTTTACAATTATACATGCCCTTTTAAAAAATGTTGAGATATAATCTGAATCTGCACTGGCCTGAACTGGGTTTTGGTTTATCTATTACTGGATCTACAGACCTGCCCACAGAAACAATCAGAATGTTGAGATAACTAGCTCAACGACACACTAATAGCCGAAACATACTAATTGCATATCAATGAAAGGCTATATATCAAGTCTACTGACCTAATCTGCTTAGTGAATATCCTTGTGATACTCACTCTATATGCTAATGTAGACATCCTGGTGCAACTGAGGGATTACTGCACCTCGGAGCTCACATACCCCTTTAGTCTACTGAGATATGACCCCTAGAATTCTGCATCGTACATTATATCTCTGACTAATCCACCCCTTGCGAGTGTCAGGCCTCAACCTTAGTTAGTCAATTTTAAGGGCCTTGCGCCCTACCTAAGGATATATCCAGACTGCATCTATACTTTCAACTCCACTAGCTTTTCTAAAGGAACTCGGGTGTCCAAATTATTTCCCAAGCATCAAATAAGGTTAGTCTTATTTTTCCCTAATTATTTGGTTTCTACGTTTGAATTAACATTAATATTGTTCCACTTGTAGTCTTATTTGATGATATAAAGAAATGTTGGGTACCTCGTGTCTAAATTCCTCAAAAACTGACCTTTTTGCCCAAATCAGACTGAAAGTATCGATACTATCCCTGGAGTACCAATACTACTACTAAAGTTTTGATACTTTATATAAGTATGGATATTTTTTATCCCTATGTTCTGGCAAGTTTCGATACTTGCCTGGGAGTTTCGAAACTATTCCTAAAATAACGATACTCTTGTAAGAGTATCGATATTCCTACCCAGAAAACCCGCATTTTGTTTGGAATGATGAACAAGTATCGATAATATCCATATAGTATTGATACTCCACCTGCAGAAAACACATTTTCACTCGAAAATCTTATATTCATCTAACCCAAAGACCTTGGTGAGGTCCCCAAACGTTCTTAAAGTCTTATGTGATTAAATATAACATAAATAAGGCTTAGAAACATGCTAAAATCATTAAACATAAATCTACCATGGAAAGCTAATAAACATGTTCATACTCAACTTTCAAGCTAAATTTCTTTCTAATGATCCTACAACTGGTATGGAAAAACAAATAGTGTATTACATGAATTATTTGGATCCTAGAACACTTCTTGAATCAACTAGAGATCCACTCTTCCTTTTCCCATGGCTTGAACTCTCTCTTCAACCTCTTTAACTAATCAAGGTATAAAAAATGGATTACGTAACTAGGTGTAAAGCTTAAATACACTCCCTACAACTCAAACACTCTCCTAAAATAACTTAAAACAATTCTTAAAAACCCATTTCATAAATCTTAAACAAAACTTATTATTAAGAGCTTGAAATGAAAATTGAGAGTAGAATAATAAGACTCTTACCTTGGTGGATTTAAACTAAGCTTGAAATTCCTTAAAACTTGATCTTGGCTAAGTAGAATAAATGAAGAAGAAGAGTTTGGAGAAGAAGAACATGGGAAGATATTTTTGAAAAATGACTCACGTGAAAAATAAGGAAGATAAAAGGTTTTTAACCTTTAAAACAAGTTACGGATAAACTAAACTTGTAGTCCTTTTCCTTCATAACTTATATTAAAAAAATCACTTTCTTTGACTTTTGGGCCAACCTTAAGCCTAATACCTTTTTGAACTGGTCCAACTATCTTAAGAGGCCTAACTGGGTTGACTTACGGGTTTCGGGTTGACTCGAACTTCTGACCTGGATTCTGGGGCATTACAAACTCGAACCCAATCAGGTAGGATTTTTTTTTTTAAAAATGGATTTTTGGGTCGGGATTTTTAAAGTTATGTTCGGGTTGGGTCGGGTTTGGGTCTAGGGTGAAAAATACTCGACCCGAAAAAAATTATAATGTTAATATTTAGGGATAATTGCAATAATGTCCCTCTATATATTATTTTCTTTTAATTAAATCCCTATTTTTATTGAATAAAAATAATATTTTTAATAAATATATTATTTCGGTTCAGGTTTGGATTTTATCTCAAAAAATAGGGTAAGGTGAAAGTGGTATATTTTTCGGGTTGTGTTCAAACTTGGTGGAGGGTTTAAAATTTTAGGGTCGGTCTAGTGGACTGAAAATTTGACACGACCCCACCCATGCCCATCCCTACTCAATACTATAAAAAATCATAAAATGATTTTAAAAAACTATACTTTTTAAAAACTCGGATATAGTCGAAACCGATGGATTATATATTTTTTCAAATCAGGTCGGATCAGATGAATGTTATAAATTTTTTTTATTGGGCCGGATTTAGGTGGAGCATATATTTTTTCAGGTTAGGTTAGGTTGACAACCCGACCCTTGCCATCCTTAGTTACCATCTCTAATTCAAATCGGGTTTAGGCCCAGATCTAATTCTACTTGCCATTAAAACTGCACGAGCCGTATTCTACAATGGGCCGAGTTGGATCACATCTGGTTACAGGTTTTCAACTTAAAAGCAAGAAGGCATTAGATAATCCCACCAGAACATCCGCAGACACGAATTCAGAATTCAGATTATCGCTGGACGAACGACGAGCAACGAACCCTAGCGAGTTGGCGGTTGGCCGAGTCAGATTTTCCTAAGCAAGCGCGAGCTGAAGCCCCATTAATCCCTGCTTTTATTCCGCTAATTGTCTATCGCCGGGTTCGGTTCTCTCTTCCTAGGCTCTCAATTCTTCCCCATTACGTTTCCATATTGATTGTTTTGAATTATCGTTTCATTTTGTTGTTTGTTTAATGTTCGCATAATCTATTAAAAGCAATTGCAGTAATTAAAAAGAAATGGGAAAAACTAGCGGAAAATGTATTTTCGAGTTTAACATTTTTCTTCAATGTAGTGAGATGATCCGAATGGGGCTGGTGGGGCTCTGAAAATTTCAAATTATAATATATTGTAGATATTTTCTTTGTATATTTTATTGATAATATTATTTCGTACCTTAAAGTTTTATATGTTCGTTCCTCCTAAATTTTTATAAACTTTCCCATAACATAAAATCTTGGGCACGTCTCTGAATGTAGTTGAATTAGATATACGAGTGAGGTGAAATGAAATAATATGTCTGAAAATCTTACTTTATCTTGTGACACACATCCTTTGTTTATGATAGATGACAAGCGCTCGGACAAATAGGAGCTTTGCAATGATACATAGGGGGAATAGGAGTTTTGGGTTTGATTTGTTTTGTTTGATGAAACGAGATTGTTGCTCCCTTGCGAAGCTCTGGCTAAATGCTAGTGGGAGGATGAATTAAGTTTCAAATCTTGTTCTAGCTTGTGGAGCACTGCTCTCTGTTGGAGGAATTGCTCACTTGGTGTCAGCTTCATGCTTTTTGGTTTGCAATGATACATAGAGGGTATAGAAGGGAGTGGGGAAGTCAGGGTGGAGTTTTGGTTTTTGTTTTGTTTAATGATTGGAGATTGTTGTTCCTTATGCTGGCTAATTGTTCTTGGGTGCATGATGAGAACAAATTATGTTTCAAATCATTTTATAGCTTGTGCAACATCTGTGAAGCAAATGAACAATGGAGCTTTTGGAGCACAGCTCTCTATTGGAGGAATTGCTCACTTGGTGTGCTTCATGGCTTTTGGTTTTGCAATAACCTCTTTTCCTTATTTTCGTAGTAGATGTTGATGATAATGGGACACCTTTGTGGAGAGAATTTCATTAAAAATTTAATTGGGACCTTTCTTTCTCTATTAATTTGGTTTAGTTTTTGTGGATGCAGTGAGATATTTCTATTAACTTTTCCCTGTTACTGGAAATGAGTGGTCGCTTCTCTCGCACAATCTATGTTGGCAACCTACCCTCTGATATTAGAGAATGGGAGGTTGAAGATCTATTCTACAAGGTAGGTGCCGGATTTACTTTTCTGCCAATGCCTTTTTATTAAGTGAAATAAATATAACCTTTTCCTATGGTGTTCTGAATCATTTAGTTGATTACTTTATGTAATGAATTTTCTTATGCTTGTACTTGATTTTGGTGAATGTATATTGGACTTGGATTAAATGAACCACAGCATTAATGTACAATCTCCTGCTAATGTTATTTTATAACATGTGTATCTCGTTTACAGTATGGTCGTATTTTGGATATCGAATTGAAGATCCCGCTGCGCCCTCCATGTTATTGTTTTGTTGAGGTATGTCTCATTTTATATGTTTTCACAGAGTAGACATGTCTAAACTGTAACAACGCCTTTAATTTGTGATTGTTTCATAGTTTGATAAATCAAGGGATGCTGAAGATGCAATCAGGGGTCGAGATGGTTATAACTTTGATGGTTGTCGTTTGAGGGTAATACTAGGTTGTTATTGTTTTGATCTGTATCCTGTTGACATACAACTTTTTCTTGATCTGTCTTTCATTGTAATTGCTGTAGGTTGAGCTTGCACATGGTGGTAGAGGACAATCATCAAGTGATCGTCGGGGTGGATCTAAATTTGGCACCTCACGCCATTCTGAATATCGAGGTCCATTTAGTATATTAACGGTGTTATCCTAATTAACCTATCCGGCTTTACTTGTGCTAAGAGATAGTTCTACAAATTCTGTTTGTCCTGCAGTTATTGTGCGAGGACTCCCTTCTTCAGCTTCCTGGCAAGATCTGAAGGTTTAAGAACTTTTAAAACTAAAAAAGAGATCTTAGGCTTTGTTAGTTCTGCTTTAGCTCTTAACTATTTTGTAATTTCTTTTCAGGATCACATGCGGAAAGCTGGTGATGTGTGTTTTGCTGAAATTTCGCGTGACAGTGATGGTATGAACTATGGATACATGTTAACGAGGCACTTGCAGTCCATGGTTTACTTTATTTCCCTGCTGCACCTTCTGTTTCTTCTTTGTTTAGTTATGTTTCATTTTGATGTTTTCACATATATTCTTACCTTGTTCCAATTCTTTTGGGTGTAAAATGATGCTATTTGATATTCTTGTCTTCTAATGAGAGCACACTTATATGGGACGGTTTTGATGATTAATGGCTGTTGTTTAGAATTCAAGATCAGTTCCTACCACGGAGTGTTGCACGCTTTTGACTTTTTCAGAGAAAGTAGACCAAGTTACTCCTCCGCTAGCTGAATTAAAGGCTATTAAAAGGGGTATTGAAATTTTTCTGGCTTCAGTTTGGGTTTCTGTTGGGAGATTGATTGTTGAGAGTGATTGCAAGTCGGTAGTGGAATGGATTAAATCACCGGCTTTGGCTCCTGTTTTCTACTTGTCTTTGGTTAATCAGATTTTGACTCTTTCAAATGGCAAGGTTCATTCAGTGAGGTGGATTCCAAGAGCGAGCAATGGGGAGGCTGATAGCTTAGCTAAGAAAGGGATAGGTTGACTGTAAGGACCTGTCACTGGATTTTCTGGTCCAGCGAGAAGGTCTATTAGAAAATTGTTGTTAAGTTTTATGGGATGTATTGTGGTGTAGTGTTTAAATATTATGTAAGATTATATTATCAATAAAGTTTTTAAGGCACTCTTTTCCTCCTTCCGCTGATTAAGGAGCTTACCACTAAGTTCTTTTAATCAAGAAGGGGGTTTTTAACGAGGCCTTCCATTCCTATCAAAAAAAAAATTTTGTATGCTTGTATGGAGCATCTGAATCTGGTTTATGAGTGTTCTCTTTATGCATTGAATTAGTTATGTGTCATGATTTTGAATGATTTTTCATTAATTATCTCTCTATTCATTCAGGGACTTTTGGTATTGTTGATTATACCAATTATGATGACATGAAATATGCTGTAAGTGGTTTAGAGAGAAATTTTGGCTAACTTGCCATGAATTTGTTTCTTCAGTGCTTATAATTGAACTGGCTTGTTCTAACATTTTACAGATTCGCAAACTCGATGACACCGAGTTTAGAAATCCTTGGGCAAGAGCTTATATTCGGGTAACCCGGAGATGCATTATTCTACTGTTACCAATTTACTGTTGTTACACCCTCATAATTGTTTTTGAGCTGTTAAATGATAGCTGGTCTTGAAGAATTTTGTGAATGATGAATGTTCCATTATCTATGTGGGTTGATCCGTGAAACCTTGTAATTGTTGCAAAGTTATGGTTCCTATCTATATGTTCATGCATCTGGGACTAATGCTTGTACCTTGACAAAGTTCTAAAAACATGAATCAATATGGCCCTACCATCCCTTTATTTTTCTTTTTTACCCAACTATCCTGCACCCTACGTTCTCCAGGGAACCCTAGTGTTTTTGAAATTCCCGTTAGTTAGAATAGCAAAGGATTTCTGTTATTGTGGTCATCATAATTCGGAATGCATAGATCCAGAAACATTATTTTTGGAAATTGTTTATCCTTTTGTTGTTTCGACAGTGGAATTTTCAAATTCAATTTTCGTTATGATAAACATGTAGTGATTATTTGTTCATCTATTTGGATAGGTGAAGAGGTACGAGAGCAGTCCATCCAGGAGCCGAAGCAGAAGCCGCAGCATTAGAAGAGATCGCAGGTATAAACTCCTTTTTCCTTCTCTTTTCAGTCTTTTTCATTTTTTTTCCTTTAAAAAATAATTAAATGCATGTCAATCCTCTGTTTTCTTAACCCGTTTTCGTTTTCGTTTTCATACTCTGTAAATCAAGGGAAAGATCTACGTCCAAATCTCCAGTTAAATCGAAATCTACCTCTCCTGTTAAGTCATCCAGGTAATTGGGGCTCAACCTGCTGTTGCCTTTTTGCTTTATTATCCAGTTTTGCTGTTTAACTTACCTTTTATGAAAACACTTTTCCATCCCTTTTTTATTCATTGACTCGGGAAGATCGAGATCAAGGTCAAGGTCAAGGTCAGGATCACCTGATAAGGTATGCTAATTCTGATTCCCTATATTCGATGCTACGGTCCATGTCTGTCTTGGTGGCTTGTGTTTATGGGGCACATGCGAACTAGCACAGTGGTGATGGTGCTTGATTCCATACATAAATTAACATACCGTGCATGTAATTTAGGACTTGCAATGATTTTATTGTAGGGTGTATTTTAAAAGTGAAACGTAAACCAGCTCTATTTTGGATGACTGGTTTGAAATTGCTGTTTATAATCACCCATTTATGTGACTGATTATATTTTCAGGCCGAACCAGTTAATGACTGATGTGCATACATTAAGTCTGGAAATCCTACGTTTCTGGGATGAATGGAGTTCGAGGGGAAATTATGTCCCATCATATATAAGAAGAGTATTACCGAATACCGATCTAAGATGATGATGTAGGTACTAATGGAGTTTGTGTGGTATGTTGCCTGAATTTATGTAAAACTAGTGGATGATGAAACCCAGTGCTATCTTTTTTATGGTACCTTTTCTTTTCTTTTTGGTTTTAAATATTAGTCATCTTTGCTTGGTTTTTAACCCTTTAGAAATCAACTGAACTTCTTGTTGGCAATAACTTAAATGACACTTATGGGTGTGCATTGTATGGTTTTTGGTCATTTTTTTTAAATGTAACAAAAAAAAGTATTTTATTTAAATTTAAGAGACCACGGTACACTTTCTCATTCTTCTCCTTCTAAGAAGATGAAAGAGATGGGATACTTTGTTCGTGCTTGAAGTTCTGAGGGTCCACCAATGTCTTCACAATCGCCAATCTTTTGAAGTTATTCTTGAAATATTTCGAACCCCAAATTCTAGCTTCTGCATAACTCGTGTTACCTGATCTGTTGTTAGCCCCTATATCCGAATCCCTGTAATTCACATTCACTTCTCTCGGAGATTTCGAAACATAGGGAGTCATCTCATCGTAAAATCTCCTTATCCAAGTATCTGGACCATTTTCCCACCATAAGGTATCAAACTAATTGAACCGGTATCTACCTTCTTCGTTTAAGTTCAAATACAGGCTCTGGTATGGGTTCTTTCACGTAATCTGGTTTTACTTTGAACGAACTTTTGTTGGCGGCTGTACTGTTAAGCAGATTTTCCAGAGTGTTGTTCGGAAATTGACCCATGTAAAGACCTTGAATCCAACTCGTTTCAATGCAGTCCCTTTAAAAGAAGCTTGGACTGTTTCGTTTACCCTTGATATGAAGACGGCCATGATTATGTCTTTAGGAAGCTTGTGTGCCACGTACTGCCACCGATGGATGAGTTGAGCTGCGTTTTGTTCCATGGTTTTGGTGACTTGGAAGACGGTCACGGTTGGTGGAATCGGAAGTTGGAACCAGTCTTAGTTTCCAATCGAGAACAATCCTGAAGCTACCTCGGCCACCTCCTCGGATCGCCCAGAACAAATCTTCTCCCATGAATTTTCGATTGAGAATTCTTCCGTTAGCATGGATCACGTGAGCATTGATAACATTAACAGCGGCGAGACCGTTTTTTCTGAAAAAACGCCGTACCCTCCGCCGCTGAAATGATCACCGACATCGATGGTAGGGCAAGTACCCGCTGGAAAAGCAAGCGTTTTACTTTTCTCATTGATCCTGTAATACAGTTCACCTAATGTCGCTCCGGATTGAACCCATGCTACCCCGTTTTCAACGTCGATATTGATCGATCAAAGATTAACCAAATCGATGAGAACAAACGGAACTTCAGAAACATGCCAAAGTCCCCCGAAATCATGGCCGCCACTTCTAGTTCTTATCTGCAACCCGTGGGTTCTCGAACAGTGAACCGTTGCTTGGATATGGGATGCATGGACAAGTGTAACGATGAGTAAAGGCTTTGGAGTGGCCGCCGTGTCGAACCTAAGATTTTGAATCGATGATTCCAAAATCGATGAACAAGAACGATTGTTTGGAGAGTAAGTGAGCATGGAAATGGTGGATGAATCTTTTGAATGAAGAGAAAGGCAATGAAGGAACTGTTCGTGTGTCTGAGCTTCGGCTGTGATCAGCCATGAAAACGCCAAGAGAACGGCGAATAGTTGGGGAAAGGTTGAGTGGTAATTGAAGTGAGAGGAGTTCATTGTTCCGGTCACCGGCGATGGGATTCTGCAATTAGAGTTTATCCTATTTATAGAATGTAACCTTAGAGAGCATGGTTGAGCAAAATTCATGCCACTCGAAAAAATCAATTTATTTTTCCATTTAAAATATCGATTATATAACAGAATTCGAATACCTAGAATTTTTAATAATTAATAAATTAATTTTTAAATTTAAGTTGAGTTTCTCAGTTTCGCATGATATATGTATATTATATACAGAATATGAAACAAGTATATGTGTATCGTATATGATTATAAAAAATCATTTAAATTATAATTAAATAATACTATAACATTATAACTATTTACGATTAAATTTAAATAGAATTTAAAATAATTCAACTTGACTAATTTTTTTTAATAAAATTTAAATTATAAAATATAACTCGTCAATCGATTAACTCGAAATCTTTTAATTTAATTTGACTTGATTCGATTGAATATCCACCTTTAATAGAGTGGTTAATGCTTCCTTTACTCCTTTTTAAAAGAGAGAAAATTAAAAAAAAATGAAACCCTCAATGAGAAAGGATAGGAATATAATATTTAGATTACGTGATAAAGAAATGTCCTAATCATAACATAAGACAACGATGTAAAACTTTTAAATAAGATAAAGAAATGACCTAATCATAACATAAACTGTTTAATTTGGATGGTTAAAATAAAACCCTAAATTTATGGATCGAAAGCCCACGAATTCTCCCTCCGAACCTCATCTTCTTCTTCAGGGGTGTAATCGTTCTTGATGTGGAACGTCTTCCGAATCTGCTCCGGCGTCTTTCCCCTCATCATGTCAGCCACCGTTTTGCACGTCAAATCCAACAGCTCCTTTATGTTCAAAAAGTTGGCAGCCTGAAATCCATCCAATTTTCACTCTCAAATCGTATATACAAGCAACTTTTTTATTTATTTATAGAATTTGCAAATACGAAAGAAAAACTAACCATGATGAGGTCGAAGATGGTCTCTTGATCGACGTCGACGAAATCCGCGTCCCAAACTTTGAGTTCATCCGAGTTACTTTCGTCGTTGGTTGCAACATCGACGTGCCTCTTGCAATACTCGAGGACCTTCGATAAGGTCTTACCGTTGACGGTAGGGACGGGGATTTCGTCGTGGCACAAGAGTCTTCGATCATGTTCTTGATCGTCTGCGATTGAAGCGCCACCGCTTCGTCCACCTCGAAAGTCTCTCCGTCGAAGCTCTTCAATGTTATCTTCTTCGAAGTCGACGCCATTGGTGAATGCAAAAACCAAAACCAAACAGAGAGCGAAAATCTGAAGTTGATAATGTATAGCTGATAATCACAGGCTGAAAATTTGAGGGAAAATGTTAGGAGAATTGTTTGGTATTTATACAAGGATTTAGAACACTATGTTAACCTAATTCTACTCAGACTAGGCTATTACTTACTTTACTTGCAAGTAGGGGAAACTAAGAAGGATTATTATTATTATTATTATTATTATTATTATTATTATTATTAATTTAAAATATAATATAATAATAACTTTTAACAATATTCGGTTAAACTTCTATAAAGTGATTTACTACAATATAACTTCTAATTCTATTAACTAATGCTTACTTTAATTTTAAAAATATATCATTTACTTATTTAATTAAAGTTAATTGAATTCAGTTAATTCTATTATTTATTTTATTTTATTTTTTCTTAGTATTTTTAATTTTGAATAAGAATATATGTTCTTGTGATACATTTTTCTCTGCTCTTGTGGCATAATTCTTATGTTTTTTGTATATTTTTTGCATATCTTTGTGGTCGCTTTGGTTTTCGCACAAAAAATCATCACGACATTTATTTTCTGATTGGTTTATTGGTGGCCACATATAGTCATATCTCATCTTTTGGTAAAAGATTATTTATCGATATAATCAGAATTGTGTAGCGAAACAGTCTTTCAAATTGTTTGGTTCACTCACTACTCCTTTATCACTTCGTAAAGCGTCTCATTTGATAGAGACAATGAGATTTTATGAAAGTTATTATATTTTGGTGTTGGTCGTCATTTTCACTAGAATGTTTTAATTTACTTCATATCTTTAGCTTTAATATTTTAATTTACTTCATATCTTTAGCTTTAATATTTTAATTTTGTAAGAGTATTTTGGTGACTATTGTCTCCAAATTTCTTCATACCTTTTGAATTTAGATTAAACATTATTATTCTTCAAACATTTAAATTTATATAAAATCTATATTAAAAAAATGAAATCATATTTTAAATATATGAATTTACATAAATCAAATTTTACTCAAAATTAAATAATTAATTAATTTTTTTATTAATATGGGGTAACTACAAGTCAATATTTGTTCGAATATAACTCTTAACATTTTGACATTGAATTCTCACACATTTGGCATCTATGGTGGTCGAACCCAGTTTCTCAAAGAATAATAACAATTCCTTTACCACGGAGTCCACTTAGTTCGTACAAATACTTAAAATTCAAATCTCATAAAACAACTATATTTTTTATTTTATAATTTAATATTATATTTAACTATTGAAATACCATCATCCATATTTAAATTTATAACAAATAATATTTTTAATATCTAAACTCACAAAAATCACTAAATATCGATAAATATCTAAAGATATAAGCATATACTTGGGCTAGGTATTCAAAATTAGGTTATCGCATTTTTTTGATACTCGAAGTACCGGGTACTCGGTTCTTCAGATAGTATATTGATCGACCTGTGATCCGACCTCTTAAGTCCAGGCACTAGATAGACGGATACCCGTATTTTTGAGTCACGATATCAATTTATATATTTTATTTTTTAATTTAAAATATTTAAAAAAATCACATAATAAATACATAAAATTTTAAAAATTCATAATATATAATCCATACACAAAAAATAGTGATTTGAAGTGAGTTTTAAGGATTAATATTTGGATATATATATATATATATATATTAAAATTTATTTCTAAAAGAAAAAATTAAAAATATTAAAATCAATCATGATTTTTCCTTTTGAATTTTATTGACAAATTAACATTTTTTTAAAATTTCAAAACTTAAAAATAGATAATAAAAACTTAGGAAAAATTTAAGATTTAAATTTTATTTTAAGATAAAAATATTAAGGAACGTAAAATAAAAATATAATTTAAATATATATATATATATATATATTAAAATTATCAGGCCGAATACTCGGTTATAAAAAATATTTTGGCCCAGATCCCATGTAACTAACAGGAAAAAATTATGGGTCGGGTACCCGACTTGATCGGATAATAATTTTAA